TTGTTGAAAAATCCTATCCTTTTGACTTCTTTGAAGATGATATCCTCTGATTTTTATCGAGAGTTTTCTTAGGTGACTTCGGTCATTTAAGATGTAATTAACTATAGGGGCTTGCTCTTATAGGAAGCTTTTCCGAATCCAGCTTAAAATAAATCCTATTTAATTCTTTGTATTAAATATGGGAACTTGTCGGCAAATAAAACGGTTTCGCAGACCAAACGGATGTCATATATTTCTTAGTTTATTTGATTGTCTCATCCTCAAGTATTATGCTTATCCCTCGGGATAGATATAGGATTTAAGGTAGAGCGCTCTTTCATTTAAACTGAGATAAACTGCGATATAGGATTTTGCATATATATATATATATATATGTAAATTGAAACGCGGGCGATGGGACTTCACTTCCAGCGACCGACAGCTTCTTACGGGCAACCCACAAACTTTAACCAACCAACCCTTTTGCTGCCGACAGTATAATCCAAAACAAATTTTCCATTGGATGAAAATTATATGCAACTTCCATAAATTAAAAAATAAGCACAATAAAAATATCATGTTTTCATTCTCTAATAATGCTTCCGCAAGGCATCTCCACTCAAGTTCTTTTGCATCCGTCTAAATTTTTAATTTTAACCTTTCTAAACTTTAAATCAAAGGAGATTTGTGTCAAGCATATCCAATTTGCATTTTTCTATAAATTTTGTAACTGCATAAATTTGATCAAGAGTGGAAGCACAGAATCACAAACCGTATCTTTCTCAGCAAGTATAACTTCTCTAGTAGCATGTGGAGAGTCCAAAAATTCCAGTAACTTTGCTAAGATCTCCTCCTGGAAAATAAGGTAACCTCCTGGTGAAAATTTTAATCATGGCAAAAATGAATAATATGAGAAAGGATACATACAAAAGAATATATTCAGTATTTTTTACATCAATTTTAAGACCAGTTATCAACCAAACAGCAAAACACAATATTTCTCATCTAAGTTAAAGAACGACAATGGTGATAATAATAAATGTTGATGGCGTTCACACAAAATACTAACCAAAAATGTTTGTTCATAAAATACATTTTTCATAGACTGAACATATCAATAAGCCTAATGGTGCTTGTAACCAGGAGACAAATTGACTCCGACATTAATATAACCAAGCCAACTTGAAAGTTGCAAGTAAAGGAAAACATATAAGATCGTATCAACAACTAACCTTCTTAGTGGTAACTTTTAAAGAACAGACATCAAGCAGATCACAGAAGTCCAGCAACCTGTCTTTGTTGCACTTGTTAAACTTTTCCTTAACTTTTGACCTTTCTTTCTCCTACAATATACTTGCGCAAAAAACAAGTAAGAAACAGGTCCAGAAACATGATTTAAAACTGAAGGCTTGAAAGCTTGGTGAGGTGAACAGAAATAGCATAAGCTGTTTCACGTGATTTAGGCTTGAAACAACCAAGATAACGCAGTAATAAAGCCGAGATACTGCTCAAAGATTTTTTAAAGAAAGAAAAAAATCAAGTGCAGTTGCAAAAGAGCTTTTAGATGCTTGACAAAAATTAGAAAAAAGTGAAAAACTAATATATGGATAAAAACATGCACGCACAAGAAAATGGTGGAAGCACAAAAAAGAGATGCTGTTTTAGAGACAATTTAAAAAAAGGTGCAAAACAAGGAGGTAAATAAGATTCATGCCATAGCAGGTACTACAAGTCTATAATAATAGCAAAACATAAAAATCGAATTTTTTGAATTCCACAATAGGATGAATTATCTAAGTGTATCATCACAAGCTATCAAATATAATATATGTAATATAATTTATGTACAATTCTTTGCTTATGTGAACGATTTAGATATCTCGGGTCTGTTGTTCAAAGCGATGGTGATATAGATGGGAATGTTAATAGTAGAATTCAAGTTGGTTGGTTGAAGTGGAGGAATGTTTCGGGCCCTTTGTGTGATAGAAAAGTACCACTTAGACTAGAAGGAAAATTTTATAAGACCATGGTGAGACCTGCAATGCTCTAGGGAGCTAAATGTTGGCCTTTAAAAGAGAAGTATAATACTAAATTAAGTGTTGCCGAGATGAGAATGATTAGGTGGATGAGTGGCTTTACACTTAGAGACAGAATGCGAAATGAATATATCTGTGATAGGGTTGGTGTGATAGGGTTGGTGATAGGGTTGGTGTAGCTCCTGTGACGGAAGAAATTAGAGAAATTTGTCTTAGATTGTTTGGTCACATTAAGCGTCGACCATCTGATGATCCAATTAGGAGAGTAAATGTTTTAGATTCGACTTATGTTAAGAAAGCTATGTTAAGAAAGGCAGAGGTGGACCTAGGAAGACTTGGGCTTATTGTATAAAAAATTATCTTAATTCATTAGAACAAAATGAAAATATGACACTAAATAGGATGCAATGGAGAAAAAGGATTCATGTAGCCGGCCCCATGTAGTGGGATTAAGGCTTTGTTATTGTTGTTGTTATGTAGATGGCAAGTACATGTGTGCGAGTTTGCAAATGCATGGCATTCATTCATATAAATATATGCAAAGTTATATTTAAAATATGTGTATAAATCTAATTACATTCATTCATATAAACATATGCAAAATTATATTTTAAAAGTATGTATAAATCCACATACATGCATGTATGAATGTGAAGGGCAATTTTAATGAAGTAATGTGGCATCCTGCTTCCCAACCCAGCATCAAAAATAAAATGAATCCAGCAAAATATTTTCCCAGCTTCAACCCGAATTCCACTTTCTAACATCTATGGGAAACCGAACAAGTCCTAAGGAGTTTTTAAAACATACAATAAGACTTCATTATTTCACCAGTAGAACCCTCAGAAGAACAGAGAAGAAAAATCAGGATAACATTTAGCGATGGTTGTCATGAGATGCCATTCATTTCTTCCATGTAAAAGAACAATTTGTAGTAATATACCAATAATACCTCATTCTGAGACCAAACAAAACCAGAAAATTGCAGAATATTTCTCTTCAGAAAATGTACCTAAAATGATTCAAAAAGACAAATACATAATGATTAACCATTGATAAATAAATATGAAAGAAGGTGGAATCGGATTTACATTTGCTTTTCTTCCAAAAAGAATTTTATGGAGGACTCGGAGACTCTCATCAGACTTTCTTTTGGACAGTTTGAAATTAACTGCAAAGGCAAATAAAATCAGAAAAAAAAAACTTCATGCGCGCATTTATAGAACTTATTTATCTTTCTCTTTCATCGCATTTTCGCCATGACAAAAAAAAAAGATCTATTATACATTCAACTAGGAAGGTCTTTTCCATGCTGCAAGCCTCTCGAATTTTGTTCCAAGCAAGTATCTATTTCCTAAATTAAGCAGAAAAATAAGTAAAGAGTCAAGGTTCTCCTTACACAACTTGTTACCACAAAATACTAGTTTTTGATATTAAGGGGAGGTGGTGTACAAAGAACATAAAAATGCAATAATGAAAACATAATTGCAGGAACAAGTTGGCAAGGGTATATAGCAATCAATACTGAGATGAAAAACAATAACCGAAACAAGCAAATATACGTGATGCCAGTGCATGCACCATTTGAAAAAAAAAAAGAACCAACGAACCAACCTAAAATGATTTAAGTATGATTTAAGTTGCAATAAAATGTATCATTATGCACCAAAGTTTAATTCTGTCATATGGTTGAATAAGAAAAAAATCATGCTACAATTTTTTTTACATGGAGGGAAGTTAAATATATGGAGACCAAGTGTTAGTTGTTAATAACTTAGAACTGGTTTTGTATTTCTTTATATAATATCAGTATAGTTATTTCATTTGGAATAGAGTATATTAAAATGTATTGCATAGGTTCATAACAATTTAATAGGTGATGTATGTCATATTTGTAGTTCTATTTTTATGAAATTTTGACCACTTATGGATGATTAAGGATTTGAATCCTGTTTGAGTACAAATATTGTCCACTGTGTCTTGAAGATATGAAACTCGATGCTTCGAGGAATTAGAATCAACATAAGAAATCTAAGTTTATCTTTCTAACCACATCCATCAAATCCTCTCTCAAAACCTTCTTCCCCCTCTATCATAAACAATATTTTGATACAATTCTTCAAAACTATTAGAGCAAATAAAAAATTTTATAGCAAGAGCATCAAACACTCAACTCAAATACAAAAGATAAACACCTACAATTCGAGAGGTAGGAGATCTCTCCCAACTCCTACATTCGAGAGGCAAGAAATCTATCCCAAAGCCTAAACCTAAGACTCCATACACAATCTCACGTACAACCCTAAACATATACATATTAGCACTACTTGTACTAACAACAACAATAGCAATAATAAAAGATTAAATTGCCCTTAACTTAATAAAAGACTAAAATCACTCTTACGTGTCATAATAACATTACCCCCCTCTCAAAAAAACATATTGTCCTCAAGGTGAAAAAAACTACTGCTAGATCAGGTCGTGTGGCTTCCACGTGTTGTAATCATCAGTCAATCATTTCCATTTAATCAGGAATTCGTAATGACCCTCACTGCCTTAACCTGTTGTTTTGTGTACATCCTCGGTCTTACCCGAATATAATGGTACCCTGACTTAAAGTCAATCATGAAGAATATTGTGCATCAAACAACTCATTCAATAGCTTATAAATCTCTGAAATTTCTGGCAACTATGTATCATGCGTCCTTTCCCTGATATGTACCTGGATCAGGAATCTCAACCCTGCATCTTGAATCACCCTCATCATATCATTCAACCTCACCAACGTCTTGCACAAATTGAGGTCATTGTGAAGCACAATCATCTTCTCTCCCTCTTGAATACTTTGCAGTGTTCACATCAATCCCTTACAAATTCCTCCACTCTTCATCATTCGTCGTGTTCTCGTTATTACTTCTGAATCATCCTCCGCCCAAATGGTTATCGTAGCAAAAGACACCGTCACAGTTGGAGGGATCCCTCCATCGAGGTCCACCCAACGTGGTTTCATGTTCCACGTCGAAACTCTTAGAAGCAATCTTCACCAGCTCTGAATCGCACGCCTTCTCGTTCTGCCTGTTGTCGCTCGTTCCAAACCTTATGTTGTCATGCAATTCCCTCAAGAGTTTGTCGCTCGAATATGTTCTCAACTCCTTCATTCGATCCTATTTGCTTCTGTTTGTTCGAGTCATCCAAATGTCACGTTATTTCTTCCAAATGTTCATGTTTGAGTCTGATCCTAATTCCTTCGCTCAATATCGTAGCTTTCAGTCTGCCTAAAGCAACGATGATGCAATGATGTCGTGTAAATCCTTTTGGTTGTTATTGCTCGTGTTCGTTCCCGACGTTATCGCTTGATCCCTCAACTGTAGGAAGCAAACTTGTGTGAAACTTCATGATGTTTTTCATCATTTCTTTCAGGGTCATGAATCTCTGCTTAAACTGACCATCCATGAATGAGAAACGCTCCTCCATAAACGAGAAAATACTCATTTATTTCAGGTCTAATGTGACTTAGCTCTTTCTATAATTTCTTTTCCAGAAAATCTAGTTTCTTGGTTGCCATTATTCCAAGATGATTTTCGATTATAAAGGTGGAAATACTGTAAGTTGGAATCTTGTCATGGGTTTCCTATGTTAGTCTGAATGAAACCAAATCTTTCCTATCATGACGTGTGGTCACAAAATCGTGCTTCTCCAAAAGTGATCTCGTCGGTGGCTTTCCAGCTAGCCCTTACCATGATCACGAAAGTGTGCAGGGAGATCATGTACATCGCCATCGGTGGGTCTGTGTACGTCGAGATCCCGTGCTGGCTTCCCAGTTAACTCAAGTCATGATTGTACCTTTAGGGCACATCATCACCTCCCACCTAACTCAATCGCCACTTTATCCTAGGATTGGGTCATGAAGGCCTATACGTCGTGATCCCCAAGATTGTATCGTGGGATTCAATCAGGAAAGAGTTCGATATGATGTCATCACGTCGTCCTCTTACAAGTGAGCTCTAATCATGACTGTATCGCACAGCTTAGTCATGGAGGCGACGGACGATTAGATCATGTTAGCGTGTGCATGTCGTTGTCCCATCATTTTTCCTCCCAGATTGCTCGAATTGCAACTCTTGTGCAAGGCTAGGTCACAAATGAATGTGACTGCGATCACGTAGTTGATCCCAAAAAATCGATCTCTCATACACCATTTGATACGATTTCTGGTGGAAATTAAGAAATAAAATATTTTATTGCAAGAATATCAGACACTCGACTCAAATAAAAAAGATAAACACCTACAACTCAAGAAGTAGGTGATCTCTTCCAATTCGTGCAATCTGAGAGGCAGGAAATCCTTCGAAAACTCTAAACCTAAGACTCCAAACACAATCTCATGCATAACCCTAACCTAAGCATATTAAACCTATTTATACTAACAATAATATAAAAAAGACAACAAAATAGCTCTTAAGCTAATAAAAAACAAAAATTGCTTTTAACATATTTCAAAATTTGACACGATCTTGAAATGGCCAACAATCATTCATTTTCTTGCCAAGGAGTGTGAAACAATCATTCCACATTAGCCTCCATAAATGTTTCACCAAGCACAAAATTCCCCCACCTTCCTTATTCATTTTAGGCCACCTTATCGATCCAAAGAATTACCACTATCACTCATCACTTCATCGAACGTTGTCATTATTCAATAAACTTTAATGAACCCTATGTGGGTGCACTTTAATTGGTTTAAACTGAAAAATTGAATCAAACATAGCATATTTAGTTGATTTGGCTAGGTTTATGAAAAAAGAATTTAGTCTATGACTCCATACTAAGTTTATCTGAATTTTGGTTATTGGTTCGATATCTAAAAAATCAATTAAACAAATAATAATATCATATTACAATTAAACTAAATTTGTTAACTACTTAGTTTCAAAGCCGTTAACTAATTAATCCAAACTAAATCTTCATTAGGATTTCATTTAAACCAAAATCTAAACTAATAAATAAAAATTATAATTCAATTTAGTTTGGTTCGGTCTGTTCGATTTTGTATGTTATTTGGTTTGGCTTAATTGGTTTAAGAAATTTGTCAAATGATCAAAACAAACTAACAGATTGCACACTCATATAATCTACTCATCAATCTGTAGACTATTGCAATTATTTTTTCATGATTTTATGTATCTTAGAGTGCATTGTTTCGGTTGTGGTTATATGAAATCTCAATTGAAAAGCTGTTGTGGAAAATCTGTTGTTTAAAAGTTAACTTTCCAGAAGCAGTAGCTCTATTTGAAAAATAAAGTTTTCAGTGTCATTTGTGAACAAATGTCTGAAATACCTCTGTGCTCATATTATATAGAATTCATAATTTTTATAGATGTAATTCTCATATTTAACTATATTATTTAAACAAGTAGAAATACAAAAGTAAACTCAAAGTTAATCTGTATAATCAAGAATTGCGAAGGATGATAAGAGAAAAAGATCATCAAGGATAAAATAATTTGGCCATCCAATAAACCTGTGGAATTTGGTTTAGATAAGAATATGTTTATTTGTACCTACATGATAACATAAAAAGGAATACTAGTTGTTATTAATTATGATTAAAAGCTATAGTAACAAAATTATATAATACATTTATATCATCCAAAATGTTCTGACTATTTTAATTTTTAAAAATTGAAATACATCTTTTCATATAAAATTAAGGTGGCATATATATATAAATAAAAATTTGAGCATTCAATATCTCAATATATAAAAAGTAGTGTGTATGTAAATCTAATGCCACATTAGCGTCAAAACAGTTGATTGGGCTTATATTAACATTTTCATATAACTAAATTTAATTTTAATCTAATCTCAATCTTAAAATTTCTAAGAGCTTGAGCACTGGTTGTTTTTTTTAAATTGATTTTAAAAAGCAATATTATATTTACCATATTTTATGTGATCACTATTATTTGGCAGTTCCTGAGAACAGAACAGTGGACACACGGTAAAACAAAATAAAAAAAAAAACTGAGCAAGCCTTGCTTGCGATCGTGAATCCAAGTTTTTAGTTCCATGGTGAATGTGTCATTCCAAAACGAACATGCAATCATATGATACGAAACGTGGTTAAGGCACCCTTCTATCAAAACCTCTCCTTAAATAATATGTGTTGAC